TTAATAAAAAAAAAAGAAATTATTAATTATTATTAATTAATGAATTAATTATTATTATAAATTATATTGTATTATTATTAACTGAAATATTTAGATGAAATGATAAAGAATTCTTAAAATTATATTCACGAAAAACAGCAACAACAAAGTTATGAACAAAACTTTAAAGTAAAATAAAAAAGAATGGAAACAAAAAAAAAGCAAAATAAAATTATAAAAATTACAACAAAAATATAGAGAATATTATATTAAAAAAAAATAAAAAAATTGGCGTTTTATTTTATTTATATATTTATATATTTGATCCTTTAATTCCTAGGAGAAGCATAAGGCCGCAACAAAGATCTTCCACTCGGTACGATTGTTGGCTAGTAGTTTCAACTCATCAATTTGCCTTCTCCAATTGTGAGCAGGTCTGCCCCTTCTTCTGCTAGCCATCGGGTTCCACTCAATCGCCACTGGTGGTGTCAACAGTCGGTGTACGGAAAGTGTGACCGACCCAGTCCCATTTGCGTTTTTTGATTACGGTTCTTATAGGTGTTTATTGAGTTAAAGAGTTTAAGTTTATTTTATTTTATAATAATGTCTTATCAGAACTTATACAAGGACATAATTGTCAGGCATAATTGTTCGAAGAAATCTATAAATAAACCTAATTAGAAATTTAAGTAAGACTAAAACCGATAATATATTCAATTTTATAGCCGATCATTGCCCGGTTTGTTCTTGGGGATTTAATTCTTGAAAAATCCTCGAAAATCAGCAAACACCAGAAAATATAAATATTAGAAAGTGGTAAATTTACTTAGTTATTAAATAATAGCTATGAATGCAACCTACTGTGCGCCTAAAGGTCCAACTAAAACAATTTTAGATTATTTACAAATCTCGTAACCTACTGCAAGGCTTAATTTTACCTATTTGATTTAGGACTAAGATCCCGCTTCCAAGATAGTCAGTCAAGTCTACGTCTTGCCGCCGCTAGACAGTTGCATATATAATGTTCTAATGAATCATTTTCTACCGCACCTATATTCTTCATGTGGTAATTATAAATCAAGTAGATTTTGTTTCTTCCGTTCACCGGTACCCACAAACGAGTAACTTAGTTCCTCGATGTTAGAGTATTGAGAAGTTAAAAGCATTCCCAAACCAACTTTGCTTAGAATGAAGAACTTACTGAAGATTTCATAACTGCTTAGCTGTCCGAGAGGATGTATATTTTGGTAGGTACTGCGTAGATACTCTCTCGTACATAGCTCTACAGTATGGACTTCTGTCTGAAAAAAGCAAGCGGTTCTTCTCATTGCGTTTGCTTTGCGGAATTTCGGTCCTATAATTTCTGCTCCTGTACTGCCATCTCATTAGTATACCATAATGGTAAATTACTTAATAAGCACACTATTATATATAGAAAGACTATTTTGCTTAAAGAAGGAACAAGCAATATACCGTACCCATTGACAATTTACATAGAGTCATAGATTTCTCTGTACACCTAAACAATCTTGAGGAAATATAAAAACATTCAAGTGAAAATTTTTTTTTGAAATAAGTTTTATAACAAACAACCCTTCTTATGGACAAACTCTTGATAGATTAAAACTTAACTTTCACTCTATATAGTCTATATACGGTCACAGACTTCCTTTTACACCTAATAAGAACTATGAAAAAATAAAAACATTGGAGTAATAACATTTTTAGAGCCCAAAGTTATGAATAAATTTTCTCATTAACAAATTTTTTATAAGCAATTTTAAGTAAAATGTATAGTTAAAAACAATATTATAAATTCCATAATTTATGAATTCTTCTGTGATGTGAGTTGGTTGCGTTTGGTTGAATGTTGTTTAAAAATTGTAAAACAGATTATTACTTTTATTCAAATCATAAACTCTCTTTTCCTACGATCATTGTGTTCATTGCATATTGTAGTCTACTTTAAATATTATGTTAGTGTCTGCTATAATAATTTAATATTCCCATCTATCCTTTTCTCTAAACCTACCTTGCTACGCGCGACTTTTCACATTTTTCAAATTCATATTCTGAATCGTCTGACATGTGTAAATCTAGTTAAATTCAAACTATAATAATAACATCAAACACTTATATTTATATTGTGTCCTTTATTTTATTTTTTAAACTAAAAAGTATTGTAAACAATCTAAACATCACCATAACAAAAAAAATTCATTTTTTTCTAATTTGTGATAGAAACTCTAAAACATACTTGACAGGTGGGAAGGGAATCATCATAAAAGGTGAAGTGTCTGATTGAATTTAACTTGATAAATGCCGGCATGACGATCCCCGTCACTGTTCTCTCCAAGGTGACACACAGATTCCTCGCGATCCTCTCTGGATAGCCACAATCATCCGTGCATAATGAACTAATGTGTGCAACGAAATCCTCGTCATAGATATATAAGGTTATACATCGGGCTTAGAACGCAACAAGTTAAACCATAACTCCAATGAGAAAATCATTTACTGTTGACGATACACGCAAACGTTTTACCGAACAAAATTTAAGACTATACATCTTGAATCTCCAAACTTTTTATAGAGAAGGTACATCTCTACAACTGATTAATGTCATCTAAAAATATAACGCTAACGATGCTCTTAAAGAGAACATTGTGACATCTACTACAGCTGCCATACAACAAAAGTACGAATTCACAGACGGATTTGCGGTAAGCCGAAGAAATTTAGTCTCAACTTTCATACCAATCAACGAAAGGCCTGCTAAAGACCGTATTTAGGCCAACATTTTTTATTGAATCGATGATTAAGAGTACTTACAAAATAATATTAATGATGATCAAAAATTCAAATAATTATCCAAAAACATATTGTAATGGATTCTAAAACTAATCAGAACAGCAAAAAAAAGTAGAAAATACAACAAAAATTACCAGAAAATTACATACATATATATATGTAGTATGTTTCACATACTAAAAAATGTCTGAAACCGACTTTGTGATGTATTACTTTTACTATATGAAGAGACCGAAAATAAGTTATTTCAAAAATTCTTAAGAAAAGAAGCAACAACAGAAAGTGATCTAAACTCTTATTTAAGCATATATTTTTTTTTTCAGAGTAGCAAAAAAATACTCGCAGCTTACGAAAGAAAACATGTGAAGCACTCTTCACATGTCCTCCCTTCTTCTACTTCCCTTATTTATCCACATACTATCCCATGCCCAAGTGTTTGTGGTTCCTTTCAAAGTTATTATCTGCTTAATAGATCTTTACGGGTTCAGGCAACGACAGGAACAATTGAAAAAAGAAATAATATAAACTGTAATTGTCATTAAATCTGATAAGTTCATTCATATTGAAATAAAAAACATTCAGTTTTATATTTTGTTTATTTTACAGATAAGCTTATATTAAAGTATAATTTTAAATATAATATTAATATATATATTAGTTAATTTCGGCAATAAACGAAGTCATTTCTTTAATTACATGCGCTACAACTAAATCAAATTTTTTATAATCAATATTTAAGCATTTCAAAATTGAAATTCTAATTTTTATAATTTATAGACTTCGAGCCGAAAATTATATTGTAATTTCAAAAATCATTAATTTAAAACACTATTATGCTAAAATTAATCGCAATTTAGTTGCACATAAAACGCTACCAAGGCAAACAAATTATTTGAAGAACACAATTTAAGCATTTTTAATATAAAAGAAAAAACATAAAGTTATTAATTTTTATAATTTGAGTTTTTATAATATTTTTACAATGTGGTTTTTTTTTATAATTACATACAGTGTTTATTTTTATAAATTATATTATTAAATGTAAAACATTTGCTGGGATATGTTATTAATACTAATTATAATTAATTTATACTTAAATTTATAGTGTTTTTGTTTATTTAAATGTAAATGTGTATTCTTGTTGTTTTAATTTTAAATATAAATTTTAATTAATTTGAAATATGCACTTTAATTATAATATAATTTGAACTAAGAGAAAAATTATTCATTTTTTGTTTATATTCTAAGATAAACTAAACAAAAATAAATTATATCACAACAATGGAGACAAAAACGTTTTGTATCTGTGCAGGAATTTAATTTTTGAGAGTACTACAGGACATAAAAACAAGCATATCATATAACATATAGTGTATTTTAAATTATTTTATATTATGACAATATTAAAAATTATTTGTAGCATTTTAATTAAAGCTATTTTTTTTTTGTTTCAATTTTTGTGTTTTGTTTTTTTAAATATATAAACAATAGAATAATTTTTTAATAATAATATCAATTTATATATAGAGTTACATATATATGTATATAGCACATTTCTTGCATATATATCAACATAAAGCAAATTACATATACAATAAGCAAACAGACGAGCATAAGGTCCTGCAGCACTTTTCGAGTAAAATTACACAAAACGCTGTTTTGCATAGATATTTGTTTGTTTGTTTGTTTGGAAAGCAGAGAGTACATTTCATTTCAATTTAAAACTAAATATATTTACGTATTAACAAATTTATAATTAAGAGAATTCAAATAAAATTAATTGCATTTTTATAGAATTTGTTTAAATATTTAATCTTTACACTTAACGAGCACTAATTATAGTCTAGCAGTTTCAATGCAATAGTACAAAATTTATAGTTAAGGTAAATATATACTAATACAAATATTCATAATCATTTCACATGCACACAAAAATTGTAATTTTCGAAATAATATTTTAAAGTAATTATACAATTTAATTTAACATCAAGATGAATACGAAACATTAAAGTTAAATATAAAAAATAACAAACAACAATTATAACACGCACAGCACTTAACAAATAAAACATTCACAGCTGCATCTGAGTTCAGTGTGTGTATAGTGTGTAGTGTGTATGTCAATGAGTGATGATTAGTTGTAATAAATACATATTAAAGCTGCAATACGATCTGTTGCCGCCAATTTTAAATTTAACATAGCCATTCCGTTTTGTTTTGTTTTGCCTTATATCAGTTTTTATTAGACACTACAATAATTTATATATTCCAAACGTTACATAACGCATCCCAAACATGTCACATAACAATTCATAATTTCATATGCTGGAGTGTGTCCTTCGAAAAAATAATTCCATATACACAAAAAAGGTCCTCTGAGATCCTCGCATAAATACAGCAACAAAATTCTGTGGTCCCCTCTATAGTTTAACTAATACTAACTTTTGCTTAGCGCTTTCTTTTTTCTTTGTACTAAAATATCATAAAACGGATTGTGACTAATTGATTGCGTCAAGCGTTTTATCCACTCTTGTTGGTCTTCCTCGGTGGCCGCAGACATGCGATAAACAGTGTGTTTACCCTCTACAACCTATAAGATATATGTATAAGAAATTTATAGATAAGGAAAACTACGTCAATGGTTACCTTTCCTTCTGAATCAGTCTTACAAGCTTTTATAATATCAGCGCCGCCAGTGGCGAACAGCTCAAAACAATGCGGTTTACTGCGATCATGAATTTCTCGCACCTGAGAAAGACAGATTTGATGTTATTAAAAACACTTAATACAATATATAGTTACTAATTATACATACCGATATATTTTCTAATGGTATAATACCCCTAGGCTCCTTATCTGTTGTGTACTCAAAATAATATAAACAATTGTCATTCAATATGAACCAACGTCGTTTCCACGACTTGTATCTAGAAAAAGAATGGAAAAAAATATTATTTTAGGAAACAAATAAAAAAAATATTTAAAAAAAACACATATAAAACATAAATTAAAATTTTGTTGTTGTAGTCTGCAAGGATCTATAAAGCCTATAACTTAAAAGAAATTATTTAGAAGTGAGAATGGATTAGGAGATTAGTAGGATTTAAATTGAAGTGAACTAGGGGTTCGATTGGCCTCAAGTTTGTATGTGCGTTGCGGAAAATTTTATAAATTAAAATAAGCCGCCTTGATGTCTCAAGCCAAACTTTTTAGATAGATAATGAACATAGTATCATGATCTAATATTCAGATTAATAATATTAACCATATAACTCTAAATAATTCAACACTTCATATACAAAATTTTATGCTAAAGGCGATTTGTTTGTGTATCTATTTTATAATTTAATAGATTTCTCGTCCTTGCCGATATACAGTCTGGCAATCTCTCAGAAAATTACTTTCCTATAAACCTATTTCGTCTGGAGGTTAAAACCGGACATTCACAAAGAAAATCCTCTCTTGTTTCTTTTTCCTGTAAGTTTCCACAACTTCTATTTAAAGGAATGTGCAATTTCTCTGCCACCAGTGACCAGAAAGAACTGCAGTCAGTCTTACAGTGTTCACGTCTTCCCTTTAAATGATTTCCCAAAATCTAATTTTATTATATGATTGCCATGTTAACTGGGAAGTTGCACATCCTTAATATTTGCTATCTTTAAGTGAAAATAGGTGAAATAAATTATTATTGGAAAACTGTCTTTTTCGTATGAGATATACAAGCTTTACTAACAAATTTAACAAAATGAAAACTAAATACAAATTTTACTCCCATTTGGTAATAAATTAGATTTAGTGGCTCATAGATTCAATAGAATATTTTCTACACTCATATTTTCTACTTTCTATAGAATTTTTTACACTCAAACAAGCACATTCACTTATCTTTCGAGAAAGAATTTCTAAAATAAATTGTATTGTTTAAACCTACCGTCCTCCTTGCTTCCAGAGCCAACCTTCTTTATCTGGGTTAAAGAATGTATGCATTAAATCATTTCCATCATCTTGTGGTATTTTAAATGGTTCGGTTCGTATTGATTCATACAAGGATTCGAGCAGCCCTCTAGGCAAATCACCACCGTTATTGATGCCACGATTCATCGAAATGAATTGTTCAACGGTGGGCTTGTCCTTCACCTGCAATTAAATAAAAAGACATTTAGTTAAAAAAGTTACAATTTTATTACAAAAATAAATTAATACCGAATTATAAATAAATCAATTACAAATTCAAGATTCTTTAACAGTCTCGATACAATTAAATCAAAAATAATATATATACTTTTCAGCTAGCTTACGAATAAGATCTACTACACATGGACTACAATACCAATCATAATGAACAGAAGGAAAATATATCAATAAATTTCAAGGAAGATAAAAGTACTATTTATTCAGAATGCATAATCAGTAGAAAACATTATATCAAATATTGTTAACATAAACAATGTTATCATTACCCAGTTCATATTATCATTACCCAGAATAGGGACATGATAACAGATAGACGACATAATGAGAAGTACAACTACAGTTAAGGCACACATTGGGAATTGACGTATTTATGCGTGACAAGTAAGTGTTTAGTGCGTGGCTCTATTCTGATCTCAATTGAACTAGTACAGTTCTTACTACACGTGGAAGACGTCGATCTTCCTAAGAGATATTGACTAAGAGATAATGACTTTGATGTAAGAGTAGGGCACGTAGTCGTGACACAATTATACTTAATATTTTAAATCGCAAGCTATTGCACTTTTCCCATGCATAATTGGTGTACCAGTGTATTAAAATTCTTGAGGATTGGACCAACGAGCCTGACTGACTTTCAGAGCAGTTATGATGGCATGAATAGTATATAAATTAAGATAAGGTGTTCGGTAAAAAAAAAGTGAGAAAAGGGGTTACTATATCAACAGATATGACATATATATAAGCTTTTATTACATATTATTGTATTACATTATAATCTCAAAAAATATTGACACAGTTTTATAGTTTCTAAATTCTACATTCTGCTTTACTGCCCAACATATTAATATGTTATAATACGGACTAAATCATCTCCTCTTTGGAGTATAATATTGGCCGCTATGTTTATAATAAGATTTTCTGTAGTTTAATTCTTGTAAATTAAGAAAAATAGTAATTACATTGAAACTTCTACAAAATACAAAAGTAACAAAATGGTTCAAGTACTATGACAACATAAAATTAAACTCCTATGACAACATTTCTAATTGTTGTGGTTGTAACCTTATGGGATCTATCGAGCATATAACTTAAAAGAATTATATGAAGAATAAATACATGAATTTAGTAAAAGAAAAAGATTGCAGAGGTGTTATGTGAGATGTAGTTTCAATCAGGACTATACCTGCAGATCTGTATTATGCCTTGTGCCTTCACTATATGATTTTAAATAACAATTATAATTGACTGGTGTGTCAAATGCGTTTTCATTACATGACAAAAATGCTAATATGACATCATATAACTACCCGTTTCCATAATACTGACAATATTTGACATTAAAAATGACATAGTGAAAACGAGGCGTTAGATTTGAGTAAACCTATGGAGCAATATTGTTGCTCAAATTTCTAAAAATGCGTTTGTTATGGTTATTATTGCCTTTATAGTTTTTCTATAGTTTAAGTTAGACAAGCTTAGATTATAAAAGAAACATTTTCATATAAATATATTAACGTCAATTAAAAATATATCTTCATATATACATATATAAGTTAATAATAATTTATTTTGGCTATATATCTATATCTTTTCCACGTGTTTATATAATTTACAAACCGATTCAGTTACGAACGTATAGTCCGGTAAGTAGCCCAAGTAGAAGTGAACGAGCACACTTTTGTGGAGTTGAGAGCTACCGAAGCCAAACGGAACTTTTCCAGACAAATAAGATGATGTCCCATTTGATAGCAATCATGCGTTCGAATAATATCACATGATTACTCCGTTAATGAAACTAAGCACAGGGCTGGATGCGGGAGACGCCGGTGTTAACATATATGTATATATATGTACTTTGTATAAACATTAACTAAACTATTGTCTATATTCAACCATCCTCCTAGGATATGTCAAGATTAATTATTTTTTAATTTGTTTACGAACGTTAAACGAACAGCACACATGATTTCCGTGCGGAAGTTGCTCTTAATTCCCTTTAAATTGATTCGAAATGCAATATTCTTCTGCTATTCTGCTAGATACGCGAATAGTTTTATTAGTACGGTCAAGTACCCGCGGCGTCGCATATTGCGTGTGCCAATTTTTCTAAATTTAGTACAAAGTAATTTCTTTTATTCTAAAAAAGAATTTGGTATAAAATCGGCAGCAGTCGGTCGCACACTTCACAGTGAAGTGAAGCTACACAGTGGAGTGAGTCTACTTAATGCACAGCTGTATGTCCATAATACACAGCAGTGTCAACCCCTCCCCCAAGTGAATGATATACGCTACAGTTTTTGACCTGCCTAAAGAAATATATTAATTTCAATTGAAATGCATTCAAATTAGCTCTAAAGCAGTTGTAATAAATACAACAACAAATACACGTACTCATCGAAAATAAAAATAACATAATAACGGTGTCAGCATCCGCAATAGCAGCGCAACAGCGCAGTAGCGTACAAGCAATCAGAAGCATACACAATTGGCGTACAAATAAAGTGCACGCCTACGTAAACAATGAAGGCAGCCAAAAGCTTTTGTTTTGCTTAATTGTTGTGTAGTAATGCTGCTGCTTGCTTTTTGTGTTCTTCTTACTACTGTTTTTTTATTTTTTGTTTTTGTTGGTTTTGTTTTTGCTGCTATTTTAATTTGTTTTTGTTTATGTTAATTATTTAATTCTATAAATAGGTCAAGTATAGTTTTGTGTGCTAAATAAATCGATACACACTTGTGTTTGTACGTTTGCATTTGTTTGAAGGCAGAATAGGCAAACATTTAAATTAAGCCATGAAACGTAAGAGCAATCACATTTGCTATTACAGAAGCAATAAAAAACAACAACAACAACAACAACAACAACAACAATAACAAAATAATAGAAATAGAAATAGAAAAAGAAAAAGAGCATGAAAGATGTTATAATCGACGTCAGTAGCGCGTCAGTTGCGCATCAGTAGCAATTGGTAAACGGATACTAATTGGCAAATATTTTATTTTGTATGATATTTGCTTGCTCAATCAAAACTTTAAGCTTTTTCGGCAGCATTTATAAACATACACACATATAATATAACAAATACACATAAACACATACACATACACATTTACATAAGTATTTGTCTAAGAGCAAATATTTACAATTATTTTATTGTTGATTAAATATTTGTTGCTAATATTGTTAGCATAATATACACATGTATGTATGCCCCTCCGTCCACCTGTCTGTATGCTTGTTTGTTCTATGTTACTTCGTATATTGTTTGCTTTTGCCGGTATTTCTTGTTATTGTTTGTTTTGTTATTGCGCATTGCTACATATGTACATATGATATTGAGCATATCAGTACATATGTAGGGACACATGTAGCCATATGTAGACTCATTGTTGTTAATGTAAAAATCTATTTCAGACAAAACGAAATATAACTCTTAAGAGCCGCTAAAGCAAAACTTTGGTAAAATGAACGCAATTCCACTTTTCGGAAAGATTTGTTTTAGAAGTTCCCAATAACCCATCGCAACTAAAATTTATTATACTTTTTAAATTGCTCATTAACGAAAATTTTAATTGATATGATTCCCAAGGGAACGAAAATATGACTAAGTGCCTTTGAAGCGTTAAAGTTAGTTAGTTGTGGTGAAGGGAGAACGAGTTCTCCTCAATTTCAATTAGCTAAAAAAGCCGATCTGAATCGACAAAAAACCTCGTTATAGTGGCTAGTAGAGAGAAGATTAAACTAAAACAGCCAGAAGCATTTATCGCCGAGTGAATTGAAGAAGGGGGCCCCTCCTAGAAGCTTAAACCTAGTTCTGGCCAGACCTGAACATAGACACATGAAGTGTTCTGGTGTCCTTTCTTCGATAGCTGGTTGACACGCACTGCAAGAGGTACCACAGGATAGGATATAATACAAAAACAAATTACAAAAGTTTGAAACAACTTAATAATTTAAAAATTACTAATAAAATAAACTAATAAACGTCTGACTCATTCGCTCAATAAACACAAATGAAGCATTTTAATTGTGTGATGATTAATGATAATGCAACCAATACAGAAAAAATAATTTCAAAAGCGACCTGGTCTAGGTCCCAAAGCAACTCGACGACCAAGTGTCATTCAGCACTGCTATAAGTATTTATACAAGCATATCTTTGCGGGCTACAATAACAGCGTTCCAGAGTCATTAGTTATTACAGCCAACCAACCACTTTACACAAATGCATTATTCTCTTCAAGATTACGGTTACACTGCAACAAATTTCTCAATAGCTCCCGGCTTATATCTCCCTGAAAGAACAATGCCTGCCACGTGCAGCAAGAACTGTGCTAGCTCAGGGCATAGCCAAGTGCTAAACAATTAATTGTCGAGCATAAATACGTCAATTCTTATTGTGTGCCTTAACTGAAGCTCTACCCATGATGTTGTCCATCTGTTTTCATGTCCCCATACACACACTAACTTGAATCTAATCGATCTTAAAACCTGTTTCACTAAGGTGATGCGGTTTTTTTTTTTGCTAATCCTGGTTGAGTTCAAGTTAAGTCTCACCCACATCCAATACATTGTTACTCCTAAACAATTTGTTCTTGCTTCTAAACATTATTTTCTGCTCTCACGCTACTATCACCTATCCACATCCTAACCCAGGTTTACGTCTTTTTGTTCCTTTCATGTTAATTAAATAAGTTTTTAATGGAATCAAATTAATATAAAAAGAACTAAATTTCCTACAAAATATGCGACTACAATGTATTAAAATTGATGCTCTTTGAATAATATTGCAATATATAGACTTTTGTCTCCAAGTGAATATTAACGCTTTTCTCAGGGTTCACATCAATAACATTTTTTTCAAAATTTTTTTTTCCAAAACGTAGGTAGTTACCTCCTTCTCTATTATGTATTAACATTCAACGAACCTACAAACCTAATGGATTCGACTAATTTCTCGATTTGTATGCAAGCATTCACTTACCGATGGATTATGCAGTGATGTATTTAACATTATAATGGCAAAGCTGAGCACATAGCACGTATCGGTATTAGTAAAAATATCTGGATTAAGTTGACAATAACGTTGCGCAAAACATTCCATCATGCGGTCAATTTTTTGCGCCTCGCCCGGCAAACGGAATGACCACAAAAATTGTCTATAAAAAAATTCATTCAATTAAATTTACATAATTTGTGAGGCATACACTTACCGTAAAGCTTGTACCAATATCAAATTAGTGAAATCATGTAACGCCACAAACGCTTTCAGTACGTCCTCATTAAAATCGTTTTTCTCACCCAGATAATCACCTGACGAAATGTAAAGGAAATATTAGCGCAAATGGAAACAGAATTTCAATTTTTCTAAATTGTTTAGTCTTTTTACTGCAAAGTTTTAAGCTTTACAGCAAATCAACATATGTTTTCATCAATAAAATTGTTTAATTTCCGAATAATTTTTAAATGACCTTCAGAAATTACTCAGAATAGAAAAACTTATAGTCAAATTGTACGCACCTATTGCAGTTTTATTAAGGCCTTCGCCTTTATAGAGGAAATGGGCCACATCTTGCGCATCATGGCGAAGTAAACGATTTTCCACTAAATATTCAATACCTAAAAATACAAAAAAAAAACCAAAAATTTATATGAATTTTCGTTTATATTAATAATAAAAAATTATATGAATTATAAAATGGGATCGAATTTTAAAAAAAATTATTATATATTATATAATTAATTATATATTAATATAAAATTATTATATTAATATATATATTATATATTAATATTATATAAATGATATTGGATATTAGCTGCTCTTAACATATACATAAAGTTTGCATAATATTAAATGTATGCATATATTTATATAGAGTATATATATATTTAAATTTATTATACAAAAAGAAGAAATAATTACATATAACGTATGTTAAAACAAAAAAAAAAATTTTATATATTAGCATATTGAACATATGTATAAACAAAAATATTTATTAAAAATACTAATATACTATAATATAGTATAAGTAATATAATATAGTTATATAAATATAAAAAATATAAAAAATAAAAAAAGGAATATAAAATATAAAAAGAAAATTAAAATAAATTAAAATAACACACTAAAATATAACACACTATTAAAATAACGTAAACATTAATAAAAATAATTTAAATAATAAATAAAAATAATTTAAATAATATATAAAAATTATTTAAATATTAAATAAAAATAATTTAAATAATAAAAAAAAAATTTAAATAATAAATAAAATAATTTAAAAAACAATTAAAGATAATTTATATAATAAATAAAAATAATTTAAATAATAGATAAAAATAATTTAAATCATAAATAAAACTAATTTAAATAATAAATAAAAATAATTTAAATAATAAATAAAACAAATTGATAAAAATAATGAAGAAATTCAAGATAGCATGACTTTTGCTTAATACATCATATATATGAAATGTATATACATATATGTATATATATGAAAATAATTTTTTTATAACTTTCTGAAATATTAATATATTTCTTCAGTCTATGTAAGTAAATGATAATAAAGAGATTTATTTAAGCAAACATATATTGTATTTATATGAAGATAATTTCTTATCACTTCTGATATACAAGATTATGTCTTCAGTCTATTATGAAAGTTAGATATTATAGTTTATTGATCATATATTTCCGTATTGTTTTATAACATCCATTTTGTTTTTCCGCTTTAGAATTGTAAAAACGTTTTTATCTTTAGAACCCTTCAATTACATCTTTAAAAGTGATTAGGCGGAATTTTAAGTATTTAAGTGACTCATTCATTAAATACTCCAAGCAGTGCATTTTGCGAGTACAAAGACAATTAACAAATAGCTGAAGTGCTTTCTAAGTGTTAGCCTCAACTAATTGTTGCTAAGCTAGAATGACTAATACAAATTTCTCGCATGCATCCATCTATTAAAATGTTTTTGTTTGGAAAAAAAATACTTTTAAGAAAAACATTTTTATTAGAATAAATTAAATAAAATGAATAGCAACTGCAATTTCTACATAAACGAGGCGTTTCAGCTGACAATAAATGAACAATTAAGTTGCTTGAATCACAGCTACTAATAAGAGTGGTATCAAAGCACAACGAATTATATTCTCTGAAAAAATGTCTCAAATTCCCCAGAAATCAATTTGTGATATATTGAGTGTTCCAAAGAAAACGGCGACAAACAAATAATTTATTTTTGAAGATGTGCAGAACGTACTCGTACTTTGTATCGAAAATATAAGCTGCCAGCAGCTGCTGAAGAGAAAAAAAAAATAACAGGGACTACAATGCGCATATATGGTGGCAGACATTCCATATTACATAGTCGCCACAAGCCTACATACTCCAATGCCGAAGAAGACAAGGTTGCCTAAAAAATAATCTATAAAAATACAGAAAAGAAAATTATATTGAAAAAAAAAAACGTGATAAATTAATTAATATGTTAACAACTACTTAATAAATTTATAAATTTATAAATTTAATTTAATTAAATCAAGTAAATGGTTCTGCATATGTAGCGGGCACAGAACTACTGGAACCAACTGCCTGCTGTGAGTACAAAGTCTTTTCCCCTACGTACGTCGTGAATCTTTTAAGTTCTTTCCTCTATCTTCGGTTGACAAATTTGACAGTTCGTTGACATTGAATAAGTGGGTAGTGAGTTGCTGTGAGAAGCAGTTGAGCAGCGGGGAGTGAAACGCCATATTGTTCATTAACGCGTGATAAATATGCAACGCAACAGTGCTTATTTGTTATTAAATTATCAGCGAGAAAAATTTCAGCAGGCGAAGTGACATGCAATGTCATTGCTTTTTAATGTTTCCATCACCTTGAGGGATTTCTTTTGTCGTGTTCTTGAAAGGGATTCTTCACGCTTAACGTTAACATAGAAAGCTTAACCTGCCACTGCTATATATAGTTTAGCGAAAAGTGAAATATTTATTCCTTTTTTTTTCGAAAGTTTTTAAACATGCTTTGTTCCTAAGTATATTGGACTCTAAGGCAGTCAAGTAAGAGTTTTTGTTTATAAAAACTATTAAAAACAAAGGAAAAGTTCTTATATTATGTTTATTTATCGTGAGATGAACAATGCTATTCAAATACAACATTTTATTCAACATTTCACCTTTACATTGCAATTTATTATATATATATTTATGTTTATAATACACTTATAACCCAGTAGCAGAAATAAGGAGTAAAAAGGCCTTTTTAAAGGCCTTTTTCTGCAGTAAGTAGTACCTACACACTTGTATTTTTTACTATTTCTTTTTTGTTCTGGATGAGCCAATATCGGAGGCCTTACACACTCGCTGTGTAGAAAAGGCCTTTAAAAAGCACTGCAATACAAATTCTGAGGAAGGCCTTACACACTCGCTGCGTAGAAAAGGCCTTTATAAAGCACTGCAACACAAATTCTGAGGAAGGCCTTCCACACTCGTTGCGTAGAAAAGGCCGCCAAAAGATTTTAAAAAATGCATGTATTTGTAATTAATTATATTTAATAAAATTCCAATATCTTTTATATTATAATAAAATTTATTTAAATTAAAATTATTAACATGATTATAACATGATTATATCTATATAACTATACCTAATATTTATTTAAACTTAAATTAACATTATTATAAATTAAATAATATATACATTTTTTAAACTAATAACACTATAAAACTATCTATAACTATACCTAAAATTTATTTAAACTTAAATTAACATTATTAAACTAATAATACTGTAAAACTATTTATAACTATATCTAGTTAATCCCTTTTGTTGTTTTTTTTTTGGTGTAAGCCTCTCTATAATATCGGTTTATTGCAACCTTGAGACCCTTTTTTATGTCAGTCCTATAATTTTCTTCACTTAGGACTTCAGTATCTGCAGCTTCTGTAACATAACGCAATATTAGACAATGTATATGTTGTTTAATTTTAACAAAAATACTAACTGAAAAAAATATGCACTAATGACAACTTTAAATATAATTCCATACAGGTATAAAAGTATACTTACAATTGTTTTGTTACAATTTTTACGTACAATTTTCCACTGTTTTGCACTATTATTTAATATTTATGGTTCAGTTGTCTTTTCGTTTATTTTAATTAGTTTATTTAATTATTTAATAAGTTTATATATTTTTATTACTTTTAATAAGCACTATTTATAAATTATTTCACTCGCGATCAGCATATTTTCGAATTCACGAACGGACTAATTTTGTTAGAATTTCATAACTTGCAATAATTTAACTTAACAAAGAGACAGTAGTCTAGACTACAACGAAATAAAGCAAAGGTAAGCCAAAACGAAAAAAAAAACAGATATACTTAAAAACAAAACATGCAAATATGATTTGAACACCGCTTGCGTGTACGCAATGCACATCAACTCCTTTAGTGACGCCTTTTTAGTAAAGGCCTTTTTGAAGTACTTTAACGAAAGGCCTGTGAATTTCATTACACCTTCTGATGGAGTGCTTTTAAAAGGCCTTTTTTTGACAAGGCCTTGAGTATTCTGCTACTGGGAATCTGTATACTATCTCTCATTTATTTCGGGAGTTAATTAGTGAAATAATGAGCTTTAACAAAATTCGACTTTATTGAGCAAGGAATCCTAAAAGAGTCTTATTTGTAGAATGATTTTTCTCTGGGCTCAAAACTTGATTCAGTTAGGCAGTCGACTTTCTACTGAAACCACATCTTTATTGCTCGATTATTGCTAACCCACAAATATATATAGTAATCATTGAATCAGAGTCAATAAGAAAGCGATTTTACCGATTTTTTTTATTGGTGCGATCATTTTATGGAATGATTTGTTTCGAGCATCACAATATTTTTAATTTGGGATTATTTTTAATAATAACTTCCTTTAAATTTACCAGTAGGGGTTACTGATATTTGCGTTTTCGATCGGTTGATTGCCGTTTAAAACTGGACTATATCGATGGATGCATGGTACAAACATTGTCACATATCAAAGAAAAGTGTTTTTTACTACTGTGAAACTCCTTCAAACAGTATTATAACTCATAAAAATTGTAGTTAACTTTTCATACTAAGTTTTATGGTCAAATATTCATGGAATATGATAACTATATATTCTAAAGTGTGCACTCGACTAATTCTTAGTCTAACTTAGCCAATGAGTGATTATTAGTTCTTTTGTAATTCCAGCAGCAACCATATGTATATACATCTCGAAGTTAAATATCATCGACACCTATGACTGTCGATCGCCATTTTTATCGAATTTTTACCATTCACAAGGAAGGGCGAATCCAAACGGAATAGAACCGCTGATAAATTAGTAAGAAATATATCACTGCTTTAATTTTTTTTCTCACTCTTATGACAGTTCATCTAAATGTTCTACCTAATCTCATATCATCCTGTTAGATATTCTTTCCCACCTTTTTTCGTTTTATGTTACTGATGATGTTTTGATGTTTTTCGCTAATCCGCTTTTATTCCTATTCCGCTTAAATTAATGACATTTTCGAATTTTTTGTTACTTTTGCTTCAGCACATTTATTGGCACACACTCTTCCTG